TGAACTCCAGCGAAACAAGAATTCGAAAAAGCATCGAGTTTTCCGAAAGTCTCCGCTTTCCCGCCGTCACAATCTGTAACCAAAACATGCTGAAGAAAAGCAAGATACAGGGAACGCAAGCTCAGGACTACTTAGATCAGCTGGATGACTTGAAGTTTAGCGTAGCGGGGCTAAAGAATTCAAATGTGCCACCGTTTGATATAGAAAAAGTTGTACAAGAATCCGGTCATCATATTCATGAAATGGTCAATCAGTGTCAATTCACTGACCAAGTTTGTTCCTTGAAAAATTTCACTCCTGCAGCCACGATGTCGTTCTTTGTAAGTGTTCACTTCCTAAAATACTTTATATTTAATACTATTATCTACATTCTTTGGTTTAAGCACTATTCCATTTTTTGCCTTAAAAAGGCGTTCCAACTGGAGGCCATTTAAAATCGAAGGCAAATCAACCTAAAAAAACACACAACAAAATGAAATCAAGTTTCAGTGGACGGCAAACGATAAAAGTAGCAACTTTGTGTGCGCTTTTTTATCCTAAGGCCCTGTCTACACGTATCCGCAAATTTTTGTATCCGCAAATTTTTTTTTGCGGATACGGGTTGCGTCCACACGTGTCCGCAAATTTTTGTGTTCGTATCCGCAAATTTTACGAAAACGGATACGTGTGGACGGTGAAAACGATTTCGTGTGGACGCAAACATTTTCGTATCCGCAAAAAGTAATTTCCGGATACAAAAATTTCCCGATACGTGTGGACGGGGCCTAATACTTCTCGCTACCACAATTTAAAATTTCTGTAGCTGAATCTAGCGCGCATTTCGTAGGATCACGATTAACATCCATTTTTTCTTCTAGCACGGCAACTGTTACACTTTCAATGCCGGGGACAACGGCTCGTCCATTCTGCGCGTCCGTGCGTCGGGTAAAATGCAGAGTTTGACGCTTCGATTGGATTCGGAGCCCCATGAATACTACGGGCCTTTCAGTTACGATGCTACAGGATTCAAAATTGCTGTTCACAACCAGGGAAATCATCTTGATATAGAGGAAGAAGGATATGACATCTCGCCAGGGTTTTACACAAGCATAAGGATCAAGAAAAATAAGGTTCGTCGATGATCTAAACTATGTAATCAAGGATAGTGTTGTAGAAGTGTGTACTCTCCTCTCACTTCTGGGTCTATTAGGTCCGATCCCTGAACTTGGTTGGCATTCCATGTGAGTAGAGTT